GAGGTTTCACTATGCTGGCCAGGATGGTCTCAAACTCCTGGCCTTAAGCAATCTGCCCACCTTGGCCTCCCAAAGTACTGGGATTACAAATGTGAGCCACTGCGCCTGGCCCTGTTGCTGACATCTTCTTGACATGCTGATAGATCAGATTACTGAGTTCACTGACTTTACCATGATGTTAACTTCACAGGAGTTGAACTGAATGACCAACTCTTGGGCAGCCAACTTTTGGCCTCCACCCTCTCCCATAACACTCTCTTTGGGGAGGCAGCCTCAGACCTGATGGTGAAACCTGATGGGCCCTATGACTTCTACCAACATCCTAATGTTCCAGAAGCACGGCAGTGTCAACCTGTGCTTCAGGGTTTCTCAGAGGCTGTCACTCACTTGCTGCAGGACTGGCCAGAACACCCAGCACTTGAACAGGTAGGGCAGTTGCTGAGGAAGGAATTCTCATAGTACTGAATCTGCAATGAGGATGCAAACTCAACATCATCCCTGGGGGCACTCACTTGCACACGTGTACATATAAACAAAGGCTTAAAGAACTGCAATTCAATGAGATGCTACTTACTAACTACAGGATGAACACAACAGTTTTGTATTTCTCTTGTATAAAGGACGTTTGGTGATTCTGTTAATTCTATTTGTTGGGCAGTGGTTGCTGACCATATAAAATGCTGCCATGTTGCTCTGTTAATTCAGACACATACTCATACTACCAAAGGCTTTATAGTTTTCTTAAATATACTAGAAATAGGTTTTGCTTTTTTATGATGAGCAGTTTTAACTGGGACATTGCTCTGTGGTCTTCAGCCAGTTTTATACCCTTAGTACAGGGAATAAGACTGATTATCTTGTCAGACTTCATCTTATTTCTGGGGTATGTAGTAGATAAAGTGCTTATCTTGGTCAAAATACATGCCCCTGAAATTTTTTATTCATAGTTTTCAGTGGTGTTTTAAAAGCAGAGAATTGGGAGGAAACTTCTGTTTAGGACTTTCTTCAGTACCCTTTGACTTTGGGTCAGTGGTGTTCCTACTGAGATACCCAAATCTGTTTCTGCAGCTGCTGGTTGTAATGGACAGAATTCGTAGTTTCCCACTTTCCAGTCCCATCTCAAAGTTCCTGAATGGCTTAGAGATCCTTCTGACAAAGGCACAGGTAAGCTAATCCCTCTCTTCCTTATTTTAGTTGGTGGTCAGTTGGCAAAAGATGTATCTTGTGGCAACTTTGTTGTTAGACAGAAAATTATGGTTTGGGCTGGAAAAAGATAAGCATCTTTGGTTTTTCGGGCATGGGGTGAGATCATTGAAATTGAGCCATTGCCCCTGTGATGAGGGTGAACTGCCTTGCCTTTTTTCCAGTGGGATGCAGTGTCCACTGGTAACGAGGGTAGAGTCCTCCAGGCCTTCTAGGTGGGCATTCAGTCCAGCTGAGTGCCCACATACGCTGTCCCCTGCAATGCCCTCATAGCCTTGGAGTTAGCTGTTACCTCCCCATTGGACAAAAAAGGGCCACATGTTTTTGATCCAGGTCAGAAAGCAAACAGCATGAATTCAGGCTCCAGTCTGTAAACACTGCTTTCTTGCCTGCCTCTAAACTTGGCTCTGCTGGAGTTCTGTCATGTGATCACACAGAAGCTGGATACACTATAAATTCATTCCTGCAATTGGTGTAAGTCGTTTAGGGGCCCAGTAGTCTTTAGCCACACAAAGTTCAAGATGTTCTTGAGAGAGGAGGTCGGGAATTAATAATGTCCACGGTGAATTTTATCTTTGTTTCTTTAGGATTGGGAGGAAAATGCAAGTCGAGCTTTGTCTTTGCGGAAACATCTTGATTTGGTCAGTCAAATGATCATTCGGTGGCGTAAACTGGAGCTGAAGTAAGTGACTCTCCTTCCTTTTCCTGAACTTAGGTTGTAAGGGCTTTTTTCTTTTGGTAGTTTAAATTTGTTTAGGATTTCTATAGTATTACAGCTACAGAATGTGGTTTTTAGTCATTAATCACAGAGTTAAAAGCAGGGCGTTAAAATGGCCTGAATACAGTCTAGACAACAGCACATGTTCTTGCAGCAGGAATCTGGGCAGCTTCTCCATCTCCATGTGGGAGGAGAAGAGTGTGCATGCAGCTTCTGCATCTCTGATTTCTGGTCTTTCAAATGTTTCCCTAAATGCCCCCTCGGCTACTTCTCTCGTTTCAGCTGCTGGTCCATGAGTTTGGATAATACCATGAAGCGTCACACTGAGAAATCCACCAAGCACTGGTTCTCCATCTATCAGATGCTTGAGAAACATATGCAGGAACAAACAGAAGAACAGGAAGGTAACACCTGGCAGTACATTTCCTGGCACTTAGAGTTTCCCAGCTAAACAGAGTGCTGCAAAGCGTAGGATTTCCCTGCTCCTGCCGCTCCCTACACTGCTTTCATGAGGGAATGCCTCCCATTTGACTTTACGGTATTTCTGAGAGGTCAGCCAAGAAAGCTATAAATAGCATTTGTCTAACTGAGAGAATAATAACAAAAGTCTGAGAGGTTTAAATGTCTTCTCCAAAAGTCTCAAGAACCAGTCATGTGGTAAGGTTTCCTTCTTCTCTATGTCCACGATAGAATTCAAACTGTAAGTTGACTTTTCGGTAGGTAGTGGCCAACGTGCTTGAATGAAAAGTCTTTTACACTTACGACGAGCACCTTATAGTTCATTTTCATAATTTGCTGTGAGTGCGTTTAACACATGCCCTATATGCAGCTGTTTATTCATTTAGATTTTTGAGATGGAGTCTCGTTCTGTTGCCCAGGCTGGAGTACAGTGGTGCAATCTCAGCTTACTGCAACCTCCACCTCCCAGGCTCAAGCAATTCTCCTGCCTCAGCCTCCTGAGTAGCTGGGATTACAGGTGCTGACCACTATGCCTGGCTAATTTTTGTGTTTTTAGTAGAGAAGGGGTTTCACCTTGTTGGCCAGGCTGGTTTTGAACTCCTGACCTCAAATGATCCACCCACCTCGGCCTCCCAAAGTGCTGGGATTACAGGCATGAGCCACCACACCTGGCCTGTTATTTTAAATCAGCTTACAATGTAGCCGTGGTCCTTGCTTGAGAGCCTCACGTTGTGATCTCTACTTCATGGTCATCCATAGTATCCTGAATAGATTGTGTGCCCGTCAGGAATAGGGAATGATGGTTGAAAGAAATACATATTTTCCTCTTTGAATTTTTAAAGATGATAAACAGATGACCTTGATGTTGCTGGTCAGCACGTTACAAGCATTTATTGAAGGATCCTCGCTGGGAGAGTTCCATGTGCGACTTCAGATGTTACTGGTTTTCCATTGTCACGTCTTGTTGATGCCACAGGTTGAAGGAAAGGGTGAGGATTTTTTTTCCTTTCCTTTTACATCACACTACTCAAATGGGTTAGGCTTTGAATTTACCACGAGACAGGTGCCTTCTTGCACACTTGGTTTTAAACAAGACACATAGTTATGTTTCATGTGCTTCACTTTAGATAGAGAGGAGAACACTGAAAGTGAAGTGCAAATGGTTCTAAGGTTAGCACTGACTAGCAAGCTCTGGCAGAAGTAAATTGCCAGATGAAGCTCTCAGGACCTAGCATGTTGAGGCAGCACATCTCTGCCTAGACACTGTAATATCCTGCTAAGCTACTGCTTGATCCAGGCCATTATAAGTTTCTTTCATCCAGTGAGAGCACTGTCATCCATCAAGGAACTGCACATAAAACTGCCTGTTGTCAAGTACTATGCCTGACCACAGCAATTGGGATAAAAGTCTCACTACAAGATGAGTACAGACTGTACATGAATGAGCATTTGGGGTGACCTGCTTAATATGCCATCTTTTAAGTCAAGCTCAGTTTCTGCTGATTTTACATTAAGATTCAGAGAAAGAATTTGACATGATTTTAGAAGAACCTCTGAGTACATCATCTTCAAGAACAAAAGTGCAAAAAAACATCTGTTACAAGCAGAAGTGAAAAGTAGGGGAGTGTTGACAGTCTGCATCTCTGGGAAATGCTAAAGTCAGACAGGCTCCCTAAATAATCCGCCTGTGAAACTCGCTGTAATCTCATGGCATAGAGAGTAATGAGGAAGGAGCATCACTGAAATATGAAGGCCACAGCTGGCACCAGTAGCACATGCAGCAAGTGTGGTGTTTTTGTTTCCTTTTCATTTCTTCCAGATTCACTTTGCAGTGTTCTATGGAATTTGTACCATTATTACAAGCAATTCTTTGACCGGGTCCAGGCCAAAATTGTGGAACTTCGTTCCCCCCTAGAAAAAGAACTTAAAGTAAGATGAACAGCTGTCATGATCACTCTTGGGAGGACAAAATCAGCAAATTCTCTTTCTTTAATCCTGTTATCCATTTAACACTGAGGCAGGGATCTAGGGGAATAGTGGCCAGCATTGCCACTGCTAAGTAGGATGGCAAGATGTATAGTGGTGGCACTGGCTTCTTTTGTCACCTGCAGAGTGTGTGAGGGGTTGGTGGAGCGGCCTATCAGAGCCTCCTCGGAGGACTGCCACCGAAGTCTGTTTGTGTCCCCTAGTCTTGCCCAGGTTTGTCTCCCACCTCAGCCGTGCCGGGTCGTGTTGGTCCACGCACCAGTGAAGTGCCATGGGGGAAGGAGGGACCTCTCTTTTGGACACTCTTGGTGGTTCCTAAGCTGGAGTACATGTCAAGTGACAGTGACTGTCGCAGCAATTTTTGTTTTGTTTTGTTTTGTTTTGTTTTTGTTTTGAGATGGAGTCTTGCTCTGTCACCAGGCTGGAGTTCCGTGGTGCGATCTCAGCTCACTGCAGCCTCCGCCTCCCGGGTTCAAGCGATTCTCTTGTCTCAGCCTCCCAAGTAGCTGGGACTTCAGGCACCTACCACCATGCCCGGCTAATTTTTTTATTTTTAGTAGAGATGGGGTTTCACCATGTTGGCCAGGATGGCGTTGATCTCCTGACCTGGTGATCCACCCACCTCAGCCTCACAAAGTGCTGGGATTACAGGCGTGAGCCACTGTGCCTGGCCCATGGTTTCTTTTGTAGGCTTGTTTTACTTGTTCACTGACACACAGTCCAGTCTTTGGGATAGAGTGGGCTCTGGTCTTTGCCGAACAGAAATCTGGAAAGAAACGGAATGACACGAGCTTTATAAAGCCATTTCCTGAACATCATTTATCTTACAGGAATTTGTTAAGATTTCCAAGTGGAATGATGTCAGCTTCTGGTCCATTAAACAATCTGTAGAAAAGACACACAGGTAATCTGTCTTTTAAAACTGGGGACAACCAAAATAGAATTTTGTGTGGTAGAGAGCAAGACTACCTAGTTATCATAACCTGACTTAATATAAGTATCTTAAACTTCTCAAAAAAAAAAAAAAACCCACCTTGATTGATTTGGCTTTGCTTTCAACACCACCCCCTTCTCTGAGCAGAGTCTGCCCACAGTAAGGATTGGTGTGCCTTGAGACAAAGCAGGCTATGTGTCAGGTCTTCTGCCACCCCCTAGCTCTTGGAGCAAAGCAATCCCATTCTTCCTGGCTTTAGTTTCTCTTCTAGAAAAGGAGGATAACAGTACCTGCCAATCTTTTTCTCTTAAAAATAAAACAACTATTAATATTTAAGGAGATCATTGTACATAAAAGGCACAGGGTATTGAATTATATGGATGCATTATAATGTATTTTTATATTCACTTGCTAATCCAGTTTTTTTCTTCTTATGTCTGTCCTTACCCGGGGACAGGACCCTCTTTAAATTCATGAAGAAATTTGAAGCAGTCCTGAGTGAACCCTGCCGATCCTCCCTGGTGGAGAGTGACAGGGAAGAACAGCCTGACTTTTTGCCCAAGCCGACAGATGCAGCTGCGAGTGAACCGTCTTCCATTCAGAGTCTGAACAGGGCACTGAGGGAGACCTTGTTAGCCCGACCGGCAGCTGGGCAGGTACTTGGTTATGGGACAGTGCTTGCTTATCCCAAGCCAGTCAAATGGGATCTGTGTTTCATGTGCAAGGCCTTTTCTCAGTACTAGACAAGAAAATGCCTTTGAAATCTTATTGTTTGGACATATATAGCATATGTTTGTTTGTTTGCTTGACTTCCAAGCAGAAAAAGGTTAAAAATCTTAATCTTGTTGCTAAAAAGTTTTTTTGTTTTGTTTTGTTTTGTTTTTATTTTTTTGCCTTTTTTTTTTTTTTTTTTTTTTTGAGACAGAGTCTCTCTCTGTTGCTCAGGTGCAATTATGGCTTACTGCAGCCTCGACCTCCTGGTCTCAAGTGATCCTTCCATGTCAACCTCTGAGTGCTAGGACCACAGGCCCATGCCACCATGCCTGGCTAATTTTTTTTTTTTTTTTTTTTTTACTTTTTGTAGAGACAAGGTCTTGCTTTGTTGCCCAGGTTGGTCTTGAACTTTTGGTCTTAAGCGATCCTCCCTGCCTCAGCCTCCCAAACAGCTGGGATTATGGGCATAAGCCATCGCACTCAGCCTTGCTGCTTTCAAGTTTAATGTCAGCCTGTGAGAAATAATTGCGCTTACCTGTGAACATCATGTGCTATGAACAAAGATTTGAAGCATCAGTTTAAGAATACGCCATTGAAGCTGCCTGTGGGCTACCACGTGAGGAAGCTACTGCACAGTGTGACTGTGTGCCATGATGTGCTGGTTTATAGTTACTGTGGTGTAAATACTCCTGTTGTGGCCAGTTTCAAGCACCAACAGTCAAGATTTGGACTGCAAAATTCCCAAAAACTTAACAGTGATACATCTTGAGTTAGCAGGTCTGTTATAGAATTGATGTTCCTGCTTCATGTCCTTGGGTGTGGGGAGCTTCAGGATCGGAAAGCACTCCTCCAGAGAGTAATTTCCTGGCAGGTGTAGTGGCTCACTGTTGTAATCCCAGCACCTTGGGAGGCTGAGGCAGGAGGATCACTTGAGCCCAGGAGTTTGAGATGAGCCTGGGCAACATATGAGACCCTGTCTCTCCAAAAAAAAAAAAAAAAAAAATTCTTTTTTTAAAGAGTAGTTCAGTTTTGCCTTTTTACTGTATTTCCTACTTGGGGTTCACGGAGTTAGTAATGAAAGTCCTTAAGCTATTTTTGTTATTTTAGTGGTTCAAAATTCATAATAGAAACTGAACATACAGTCATAAGAAGGCTGCAGAGATACGATATGGCTACCAAATTTACTTTCTTTTGACTCTATGTGTCAGCTCACTGCTTCTGTCATTCTAATCAACAATTTTGATTTGCTAATGACAGCATAGTAATTTCAGGTTATTCCTCAGGACAAAAAAATGAAAATATGCCCCTGATGGACAAAAGCTCTTCCCTTCATATAATGTCTGAATTCCTGTGTCTGAGGTGCATTGGCTCATGCCTGTAATCCCAGCACTTTGGGAGCCCAAGGCAGGTGGATCACTTGAAACCAGGAGTTCGAGACCATCTTGGCCAACATGGTAAAATCCTGTCTCTACTAAAAATACAAGAAATAGCCTGGCATGGTGATGCATGCCTGTAAACCCAGCTCTTCGGGAAGCTGAGGTTGCTGTGAGCCAAGATTAGGCCACTGCACTTCAGCCTTGGTGACAGAGTGAGACCCTGTCTCAAAAAAGAAGGAAGGAAATCTAAATTCCTGAAATTTGAATTGTTAATTAGGGGCAAATGGTCATAGGAGTAAGACCAATTTCACCTGGCTGGTATATCAGAAACACAGTGTGGCTCACCACCTTAAGGGCAGTGGTGATAACTGTTCATTCCACTCTGTTCATGATTCAGAACTGGAGTCTCCTCGTGGCTATCGTAGTAAGCATTGCTGGATGTAGGGGTATGGGGGTCCTTCCATTATGTTGATCTCATATAGAGCAGTAATATGGATTTCTAAATATTCACAGTATGTCCCTTAATTTTAGGGATGTTGCATTTGTTCTCATGAGACTTTGGAGATGATGGTAATTTAATATTTGCTGAGCTAGGGATGTGTTTGTGTGCAACAGTTAAATCTAGTTCCCATGCAATTTAAAATGATGCCTGTCATTCTTGGCAGTGAGGCTAACCTGTCCTTTGTCTCACAGGCCACAATTCCAGAGTGGTGTCAGGGCACTGCTCCTTCCCACTTGGAAGGGGAACTTCTGCGTCGCTTGCCAAAGCTCAGGAAACGCATGATGAAGATATGCCTGACCTTCATGAGGGAGAGTCCCCTGCCTCACCTTGTGGAGGGCCTCGATCAGTTCATAGGTGGGTGCCAGCAGCCAGGTCAAGGGTGGAACTTTCTGTTTTCCCCAGTGGCCCAGGAGGTCTGAGAATGTGGTACCTATGTCCTTTTTTGACATCTTACACAGTGTTGAACAGTTGATTGAATACGCAAGTGGGCTTAAAATCTCACAGAGCCAGACACAGGAGCCTACTGAGAGCACACAGTCTTAATTTTCACATTGTTGTCCTCTCATGTAACCTGGTACTGTGCCATTTTTTATGACAGCCTTGTCTGCACTGGTTCCTTTTGGCTGGTATTTGGGTAAAGGGGCACAGACGGTCCCCACTGTCAGAAGGTTGTCTCACTTGAGGAAAAGGCAGATTCATCCCCATCCTCTTGCTTGCTTCACTTCAGAGACGCACAGCAGTTCATTTCTCAGGCTGTCTTCCCTTAGGGAAGGTGAGAGCCAAGACCTGCTCATAGTGTACAGAAGCAATAGCTGGGAAGGGAATACAGAATTTAATAGAATGTTTGGGCCCCTGGCAGCCTCTGACTACCTCCTTCACCCCATCTGTCACCCACCCACAGCGAGTGTGCTGTCAGTGAGGCTGGCCTTCCTTTAATGAGACTGCGTCTGATCTCTTCCTTTTTAAAACTTGCCAGCTGTTGCTTAAGGTGACAGGAGCCTGAGGCTGGGGGTGAGTGGAATACAGATCCACATGCATCTCTGGGACCAGGGATGTGCAGCGTGATGTAAAGCCTCCCTCATTCTCTAACTCTCCCACACTGTCAGTCTGTTGTCTTTGGTGTCTTTGTGCTCATCGATAACTGCCTATATTTGGCTGGTAGTGCTGCCTTAATACATTACCACAGACTGGGTGGCTTCAGTGTGAGGAATTCATTGCCTCACATTTCCAGAGGCTAAAAGTCCAAGATCAAGGTGTCAGCAGAGTTGGTTACTTCTGAAGCCTATCTCCTTGCCTTGCACTGGCCACCTTCTCACTGTGTCCTCCCATGGTCACTCTTGATCTGCGCGTTCTGTGTCCTGATCTTTTCTTTTAAGGACTTCAGTCAGATTAGAGCCCATTCTCATTTCATTACCTCTCTAAAGTCTGTCTCCAAATATAGTCACATTCTGAGGTTGGGGGATGGGGGGTGGGGGTGGGACTTGAGCATGTGAATTGAGGGGGAAGGGAAGACACAGCCCAGCCTGTAACAGTGCCTGCAGGCAGGGAAGTGGCACCCTTGTGTTATTGGTACCCACATGTATTCAGGAAGGCAGGTTGGTGCTGTATAGAAAGAACTTGGGCTTTGGAGTACGGTAGGTCAGTGTTCAAGTCCTGGCTCATCTACTCATTAACCACATGGCCTTCAGATAGTGAGTAGACCTCACTGAGCCTTTCTTTGAAGTCTGTAAAATGGAGCTACAAATAGGTGCTTCTGAAGTTATGCAGATGAAAAGAGAATTTACCATGTACCAACCACAAGTGGAAACTCAGTACATAGCAGTCAGAAATTTCCTTCAAGTGATTATAAATTTCTAGTATAATGTACTGCACATAGTTGGTGCTCAGTAAGTGCATTTTGCTTGATTGATTATAAAACCCCTAAATACAAAAGAATGACTGCTGTTGTTTGGGTCATTTATTGTCAAGAGATTTGAAGCCCTTCGTGTTATTTTTCTGTTTTCCATGCACCTTGACCAGTTTGCTTAAAACACTTAATGAGATTTTTAAAAATGCTAGGGACTAGATTAAGTACTCGGTATAAAGATGAATGATTCTTGGCCTTTGTTCTCCAAAAGGTCCCTGGTGTTGGGTAACTTAAACACATTACTAAACCCCTGGGTTTTCTTATTGCCCGCCTCCCCTGCCTGTTTTCCCCTTACAGGTGAAGTGATTTCCTCTGTGAGTGAGTTACAGAGCTTAAAGGTGGAACCCTATGCAGAGAAGGAGAAGCAGCGGTCAGAAGCCAAGCACATTCTCATGCAAAAGCAGCGAGCTTTGTCAGACCTCTTTAAACACCTTGCAAAAATTGGTAAGGTTCTCACTTGAAACCCAATGAAATGTAGTCACCAACTTTCAGAAAGAGAAACAACATGACTGATTTGGGGGAAATTCCAGACAGTTGAGATGGTGGACAACAGAAGGTACAGGCAGGGTTTTGAAATGCCATTCTAAGACTTCCACTCATGCAGGAAAATCCTACAACCAGCCAGCTGATTCCCAAATATTTCCAGTTTTGTATGAGGTTTCTCAGAATCTATATTTTTGAAATTTCCATCACCACGTGCTGTACCATATGCTTGCAGCATCGTATAGAGAGCAGTGCTTCTCAAACTTGAACGTGCATGTGAATCACCAGGGGAATCTTGTGAAAGTGCAACTGCTGATCCTGTTTGAGTTGCTGTGGGTGCAGCCTGAGAGTCTCCATTTCTAACTAGCTCTCAGGTGATACTGTTTAGAAGATTTTGCTTTGAGTAGCAGGGGAGAGCGGGCACATCCAGTCTCTACTAAGTATCTTTGTTTAAGTGAATGCGGTTTATTTCCTAGGTCTGTCATATCGCAAAGGTCTTGCATGGGCCCGTTCAAAAAATCCTCAAGAGCTGCTTCATCTTCACCCGTTAGATCTCCGGAGTGCATTGTCCATCGTCAGCAGCACTCGGGAGGCTGATTCAAGGTTTGTCTGGTTTCGTGTTTTTTCCTTGTTTATAAATGGAGCAGGTAATTTAAAACTCTTTGGCCTCATTTGCAAAAATGGGAATAGCAGTACCACTGTGGCTACCACTTAAAGTGCCTGGCTCAGGATCTGATTCCTGATGGACATTCAAATGAAAGTGTGAGGCTGGGTGTGATGGATCATATCTGTAAACCCAGCACTTTGGGAGTTTGAAGTGGGCAGATCGCTTGAGGTCAGGAGTTCAATACTAGCCTGACCAACATGGCAAAACCCTGTGTCTACTAAAAATAGAAAATATTAGCCAGGCATGATGGCACATGCCTATAATCCCAACTACTCAGGAGGCTGAGGCAGGAGAATTGCTTGAACCCATGAGGTGGAAGTTGGCAGTGAGCTGAGATTGTACCACTATAATCCAGCCTGGGTAGCAAAGTAAGACTGTCTCCAAAAAAAAAACCATTTCTTTTTTTTTTTTTTTGAGATGGAGTTTCGCTCCTGTGACCCAGGCTGGAGTGCAATGGTGTGATCTCGGCTCACCACAACCTCCGCCTCCTGGGTTCAGGCAATTCTCCTGCCTCAGCCTCCTGAGTAGCTGGGATTACAGGCACACACCACCATGCCCAGCTAATGTTTTGTATTTTTAGTAGAGACAGGGTTTCACCATGTTGACTAGGATGGTCTCGATCTCTTGACCTCGTGATCCACCCGCCTCAGCCTCCCAAAGTGCTGGGATTACAGGCTTGAGCCACCGCGCCCGGCTTAACCCATTTCTTTTCTTACTCTTTATTCCTTGCATTCCCCTCTCCTCCTCCTTTTTTTTTTTTTTTTTTTTGTCTTTTGATTTTCCTGAGGTCTGCTCACTTCATTTGATCATACATGTGGAAATCTATGGGGAAATGGCATATTTTTAGTTGCTCTATATACATACATCCCTCATAAGTTCTAAGATGTTCTTAAATTTGTGAGTCTATACACTGTTGAGACAGGCAGAGCTACCTCTGTCTACAACACAGCAGAGAGTGTTGTGAGTGATGCTTTGCATGAGCTGGGTGTAGTGCACATTTGCGTTTTCTTTGCTCAGTTGGCCCTCCCAGGGCTTTAAATTTGAATTCAACAGAACATTGTAGACAGGGGAAATTTTACATAAGCATTCTGGATTTTCAGTTTTTCAGGAAAATTTGCCAAGTGGGCTTGCATTCCCATTCAGTGAGCAGTGCTGTCACTGGATAGTAGTTTCCTCCTATTAATAGGACACATACTCTCCAGCTTACTTTAGCTCTCAACAGCCCATGTCTTCCCCACATTGAGGTCAGCTGTCATTGCCATGCATCATTTTGTGCTTGGCTGTCTTTAGTCCTCTGACGTAATTTGCCTGGCCCCTGTAGGCATCAGAGTTTATGACCCCTAGCCTCCACTGCCAAAATAAGAAGGTTTCATTGAAGAAACCATATTGTCAGCATAATTTATTTCCCCATGATACTTCCAGTGCTGAGTATAAAATACATCTGTTAAGTTAAGGACTAATGAGTGCCTCAATGAATGAGTCCTCACGGGAAAAAACCTATTCAGACAGCTGATTCTTGGTTATGGCCAAATGTACCAATCTCTTGAGTTTTTAGGATCTGGGGTGGGAGAGTGTGGTTTTAATTAAGTAAATGATGTTGGTATCTTTTCCAGGCTGCTCACAGAAATCTCGTCTTCATGGGATGGATGCCAGAAGTATTTTTATCGCTCTCTTGCACGGCATGCCAGGCTTAACACAGCACTAGCAACTCCTGCCAAGGTAGAATGATAGGACATGAGACTTGCAGGGGACCAGGGAAAGCTCTTATTCTCTTCATCCCAGGCCACATTCTCAGACCTTGTTAAGTGATAACAGCTTGTTAGTGGAACTGAGCTTTTTGCAGTATATCCTTAAACTTAAAATATAAATCAGTGTAATTCTTTGCAAAATCAGAGAGCATCTTAAATTCTGTTACACTTGCCAGCAGGACCAAATGTTTAAGAAAAATTAAGAAAAACCTCAAATTGAGAATGCCACGTTCAATCTTTTTTCCCTTTGTGAATTGAGAAAAGACCACTAATAAATGGATTTTTGGAGTTAAATCCAGTTCCTGTCTATGGAATATTGATGATCTGTGCAAGCATAATTGGAGAAACACTGCTCAAAGAAAAAAATGAATATGTCACCTTTAGAGTGCTTGTCTGTCACTTACATTAGCAAGGGACTCCTCCCCTGAAAGAGTCCAGAAACGACTTTCTAGAGGCACAACTGTGGGTGGGGTTTGCCAGCAGCCCCTTCAGCATGGTTTTCCTTCTGCCAGGAGATGGGCATGGGCAACGCAGAGCGGTGCAGAGGATTCTCAGCACATTTGATGAAGATGCTTGTCCGACAGCGGCGCTCCCTGACCACGCTTAGTGAGCAGTGGATCATCCTCAGGTATCAGCTGATGAGTTGTGCTATTGGGAAGAATTGGGTCAGTCAGCTCAGAGTTGCCACATATGGGGAGAGGAGTGACATGCTCTCAATTGTGAAATGAATTTAAGGCCCAAAGAGGCAGGTAGGGTTTCTCCCGGCTCTGCCCCTTGCTTTCAGTGATATGCCTCTAGTGGCCATCTCCCTCCGGGTTCTAACTATATACCTCGTGAGAATATGGAGCCGGGGAGATTTCGGGGCTGTGTCAGGCAGTGAAAATTGTCATGGGTGAACTATACCTGTGTCTGGAATGAGGATATATGTTGCTGAAAGTCCATGTGGGCTGCTAGATATGGTCGTGTTCACGGTATTAGGGTGTCCCAGTCTCGGGCACAGATGAGATTTGAGTCTGCTTCTGTTACTTAAGCTTTTGGGATCTGCTGAGTCATACATGGAGGCTCCTCAATGGAAACAGATAATTAAGAGATGAGGACAGTTAGGAAGGTTGTCGTCATCTCTTCAATGGATTTATAGCTGAGAGATAGTACTTCCAGACTGTTCGCTCTAGCTTCAGGTATTTCCTGCTCCATTCATTAGGGTTTATGTAGCAAAGTACAGTACATTTACTAGATAATCCTAGTTGAAGTCTCTGTAGTGGTGTGACTGTGTTGTGATGCTTTTCCTGAAAGACTGAGGGATGGGTTTAAGTACTTTGGGAGGCATTTTAACAGACTTCTTACCTCTCTGGGAGATTCTTCTTGACTATATGGAAAAGCCCAGGCTTGTTCAGAAACACAAATTTCTTTTAAAACAATATAGTAACATGGTTTAAGGTGCCGTTCATTGTGTTTTTCCCATGGGTTTCTCTGTACAGGAACCTCCTCAGCTGTGTGCAAGAGATTAATAGCAGGCTGACAGGGCCCCTGGCCTACCCCGTGGCCTTTCCTCCTCAGGACGGTGTGCAGCAGTGGACTGAGCGCCTGCAGCACCTGGCCATGCAGTGCCAGATCCTGCTCGACCAGCTCTCCTGGCTCCTCCAGTGCTGCCCCAGTGTGGGGCCAGCTCCAGGCCATGGCGATGCCCAGGCATTGGGTCAGCCTCCTGCCCCCTGCCTGAAAGGACCAGAACTTAGCAGCGGACAACTTTGTGGAGTAGTACAAGACCTAATTCCCTCCAATCTGAGCTACCCATCTCCAGTTCCTGGAATTCAGCTGCCCTTTGGTTGCCGGATGCGGAAACAGGATCAGCTTTGGCAACAGTCAACTATGAGATTAACAGAGATGCTAAAAACCATTACAACAGTGAAAGCTGATGTTGACAAAATTAGGCAGCAGTCTTGTGAGACTCTCTTTCATTCTTGGTACGTGTGTCTGTTTTTTCTCTGTGTACTTAGGTTCTTACTATGCTTATCTAAATTGGGGATGGGAAGGGAAGGGTGTTAACAGAAAGCAGCAGCTGTTAGACAGCCCTGGGGTCTAGGGAACTCAGTCGGTTTAGGGTATGGAGTGGGGAGGGGATAGAGAGTGTCATCTGCAGGTTCTGAGACTTTAGTGGAAACAGCCTTGGCAAAGATGCCAGGCGAAGCCCTAAATAATCCTCAGGGAGAGCAAATCACATCCTGCTATTTGTGGTGGTCCAAAATCAAAGCCTGTCACACCAAAGACTAATGATAATGGAATATCATTAGTCTTAATGGAATAAGTTTAGTAATTTATTCAGTAATTAATTCCATTACTAAACCTAGGTGTTTAGTATTTTGTTCCATTATTAAACCTAGGTGTTTATTAATTTGATTACTAAACCTAGGTGTTCAGTAATGGAATAAAATTATGAAAAGAATTGTGCTTCAGTCCTGTGTTACTCAGTGGACCTGCACGGCACTTTGTGGCATGTGTTCAGCTGTAACCTCCAGTTAGGGTGTGTTCTACCTTGCATACATTGTAGTGGTTGGAGGGATGGGTGTGTGTTTGTGGGAACTGTGGTGCATTCTTTTCAACATTGTGGCATTTCTGTTGCAGGAAAGATTTTGAAGTTTGCTCTTCCGCACTGAGTTGCTTATCCCAGATGTCAGTTCATTTGCAGGGCCTAGAGTCCTTGTTCATTCTTCCAGGGATGGAGGTTGAGCAGAGAGACTCACAGATGGCACTAGTTGAAAGTCTGGAATATATAAGAGGAGAAATTAGTAAAGCCGTGTCTGACTTTACCACCTGGAAGACACATTTACTTACTTCAGGTAGCCAAGGAGGTAAGGAATATTGTTCCGTCAGGGAATAAAAGCCCAGTACAGAAATGATGTCTTGTAGATGTAAGTCTCATTATCCTAAAGACATATTATGTTTTGGTTTACATGTACCCATCCAGGGTTCTGAGGCAGGGATGTGGGGTTGAAATCCACAGCTCTTAACTTTTGCCCCATTTGTTTGAATGCCTGTTACATACTCTGTAGTACACATAGGAAGGCAGCACAAATTGTCTGTTAGTTTTTCCTCAGATTGAAAAAGCTTGGAGCTGATATTTGGACTTAATGTTCATACTGTCTTAACAGTTATTTTCCTATTTTTTACATTGTTTTAATAAAATTGTTTTAATACAAGATAATAAACTTGTAGGTTTATCGAGGCAAGGAGTTTGTCTCTTTTCTTTGTATCTGGCACAGCTTGACAAGTAGCTCATCAGCAAATGAGTATTTTTAATGATTTCCAGAAGGACTAAACCAAATGATTGGTGTCTTTCATTTGTATGTTTGTTTTGCACTGTTACTTACTAGGAAATCAAATGTTGGACGAAGGGTTTGTGGAAGATTTTTTCGAGCAAATGGAAACTGCCATCCGAGCCATCCTCTGTGCCATTCAGAACTTAGAAGAAAGAAAGAATGCAAAAGCAGAAGAGAACATTGACCAAGCAAGCCCACAAGAAGAGTGTGGTATGTCTGAGATCAGGCAGAAATTAGTTTCATGCCTAATTTAATTTTTGTATTTGATGATTTATTTCTGAGGCTAAATAGTTAAGGGTGAATGTTAGAAACAGATGCCTGCATGAATAGAGATGAAAGGATTTGTTTTCTGTTACTCATCATGTTATTTTCTCTGAATGAATGGGGCAGCAGGCTTTGAGAGACTGCAATCAGGACATCTAACAAAACTCTTAGAGGATGACTTCTGGGCCGATGTGAGCACTTTGCATGTGCAGAAAATAATTTCTGCCATCTCTGAGCTGTTGGAGAGGCTGAAATCGTACGGTGAGGATGGCATAGCAGCAAAGCACCTGGTAACTAACTGTTCTTCATAAGCTTTTTGCAATGCACTGAGCAAAGGCACAGTGGGGTTCACCTCACTCCATGTGGTTAAGTCCCAGAGCAGGCCTCAGTGCCACCATCACCAAGAACTTGGTCTCTTTATTTATACGTGCAAAGTCATTGACAAGCTTTGAAAAGCTTAGGGCTTGCTAGCTAATTGTAAGATGCGTAAGGGCAAAACTGCTAAGCACTCAGAATATCCATTACATTAGGATTCTTTCATATCTTAAATACTCCCAAGTATTTAATGTTATTGACAGACGATGTTATCAACTGGGGCTTAGCGGCCACCTTCTGTAAACACCATTTCCACTACAGTAAGCCAACAGAGTAAGCAGTTGTAGTCTCTGCAGTAAGTCCAGAGAAGCAACTTACTTTGTAGGACATTGTATGTTATTCTATAGCATTGCCTCTAGTGCTAACTTTGAATCAGCAATAGAATTTATTTATAAATACTATTTTATTTTTTATTATTTTTATTTTTTAGTTTATTATACAAGGTCTCATTCCATCTGAAAAAGACAGGGTGTGGTGGCTCATGCTTACAGTCCCAGCACTTTGGGAGGACAAGACACGTGGATCACCTGAGGTCAGAAGTTCAAGAACAGCCTGGCCAACATGGTGAAACCCTGTCTCTACTAAAAATACAAAAAAAATTAGCCAGGCATGATGGCACACACCTGTAATCCCAAGTACTTGGGAGGCTGAGGAAAGAGAATTACTTGAACCTGGGAGGCGGAGGTTGCACTGAGCCGAGATTGAGACTTTGCACTCAAGCCTGAGTGACAAGAGCAAAACTCCATCTCAAAAAAAAAAAAATTGTAAAATTTTCATACATAAAAGATTATTTTATTTTATTTTACAAGGTCTCATTCTGTGGCCCAGGCTGGAGTGTGGTGGCATGATCACGGCTCACTGCAGCCTTCACCTTCTGGGCTCAGGTGCTCCTCCCACCTCAGCCTCCCAGGTAGCTGGCACTATAGGCGTGCACCACCATGCCCAGCTAATTTTTAAAGTTTTGAAGAATTGCATTCTGGCTATATTTTTTTTTGGTTTGGCATTTTTTTTGTAGAAATGGGGTTCGGTTCGCCACATTGCCCAGGCTGGTCTTGCACTCCTGGGCTCAGGCAGTCTACCCACCTTGGCCTCCCAAAGTGCCTGGCCAACATTCTGCTTTTTAAAAACCAACATTGTGAGCCAAAGGAGATGTCAGTCTGAGAATTTAAAGTGTACTTTTGTGATGATTTATGTAAATGAAGAAATCTCAGTGAGCTGTGTGTATTAGGGTGGGATGGGGGTTACAAACACATACATGTAACTTGCCATTAGTACTAGTTAATGCATTCGCAATGTTGTGCAATTACCACCACTATCTAGTTCCAGAATGGAAACCTGGTACCCGCCAAGCAGTGTGAGCTGGCCTTTTGTTTTGTTTTGATCTCAGTTCTTCAGCCAATCCTGTTCCTTGCTGGTGCGTCTCCTGCCAGTCCTCTCCAGCTACTCAGACCTCGTCCTCTTCTTCCTGACCATGTCTTTGGCAACTCACCGTAGTACTGCGAAGCTGCTCTCTGTGCTTGCCCAGGTCTTCACGGAGCTTGTCCAGAAGGTAAGGACTATTCACATGGTGCGCTGTGAGCAGCAGGGACCCAAGTAAATTTCTTATCATTAGTCTCTGGTGAGATAGGCTTTTAGCAAGATGTGATTTGCTCTCCCTGTGGATTATTAGGGCTTCATCTGGCATCCTTTTGCTAATGCAGTTTCCACTAAAGTCTCAGAACCTACAGATGACACCCCCTATCCTCACCCCACCCCATCCCCCAAACCGATGAGTTCCCTAGACTCCAGGGCTAACAGCTGCTGCTTTCTGTTAATACTCTTCCCTTCCCATCCCCAATTTAAATCTTCAGATAACTCTTGAACTAGAGTTGTAGGATAAACCCTTAAGGCCACTAAGTTTTCTTTTAACTATGCAGGTGTAATTATGATTAAATGATAATGGGACTATTAGTATTAGAGTTTTTTTCTTTAGCAGAGAAATCATTTGTTCATTCAGCCATGTACCCAGTACTTTGAAAAGCACTGAGGTTGTAGAGATTGTAGACCCTCCCCTTGAAACTCAGGGACAGTAGACAGTGAAATCTAAGAACAACACGGTGTGGGTAGGTCTAGTCATAGAGGTAATCCAGCTGTTGGTCTCCTAACCTCTCCAAGCCTCAATTTCCTCATTTATAAAATGAGATCTGCCTATATGTGTAAGCATTTTTGTGAGAACGAGAACCACCTGCATTTGAGTATGTGAGTTTTGTTTTTGTTCTTCCTTAGCAGTCTAAGATTTTCTCCAAGCTAAGTACAGATGAGATGTACTTGAGGAAGATAGGAATTTACAAACTGAAGATAGGGTCTGCATTTCTTATAAACGGTTAAAAGTTTTTAGTTATGAGTCTCTAAAATACTGGAAAGGTTGAAAAGTGGAAGCCAAGCCTAATGCCTTATATCAAGAGGATAAATATGTTTATCTGCTGAATAAGAAGTAAAAGAATGAATCTCAGGTTTGTCCTCTCTGATGGGCACCAAGCCAGTCTTAACATTCCATTGCTTCTTGGAATAAACACTGTATGCCAACGACAGTGGCAGGAAAACGTATGGTACGGGTGCCTTGAGATTTGGCTCAGCTAGATCTGTCCATTTGCACCATAACTGTTGTCTGATAGGCTGTAGAATGACGTTGGCCTTTCAGACCTTTGTCTGTTTTGGGTAGAATGGCTCTGATATGTGCAGAATGTTGGGAGCCCGGTGGCTATCTCAGATGTAACTACTGCAGTGATATGCTCTGGTAAGGACATCTGAAACTGCCTCCTATGCAGTCCTATTCTTAGCCTATATATGAATGCCTCTCTTTTAAATAATGTAGTTCAATGCAAAAATTAAGCAAGTAAGCCAAACTATTTTCCAATCTATGTCCTAAAAGTGTCTAAGTGTCCAAATTGTATTCATATCCTTTCTGAGTAGTTCCGAGGGAACTTGGAAGTAGGTTAGACAGTGCTAAGATAATAGATCTAGGTTGTAATTAAAGCTCTTGATCCACAGGAAGCTGTCTCTGTGTAACCAAGTTATAATTAGTGTTTACTGGTCTTGGATCTTAATTCCTTGCTAATTAGCAGCTTTTTAAAGTGCATTCTCATCCTCAGGTTGACAAATATCTTCATAGTATATATTTTCTTTTACAAAATTAAAATTTCTGATTGAGAGTCACTACTTCTTTTTCTTTTTACTTCTGTTCAGGGGGCTACTATTCTTCTCAGGTTATTTTCATGTATAAAATACTTTTGTTGAACATTTCACAGTTACTACGTCCGGCTGTGTTCTCTTCAGAGCCTGTTCTGCCTTGCTCAAGGCCTTTTCCTAAATACTGTCCTTCTAGTATACTTCATTTAGATTTTTGTCTTGGCAGAGTGACAAATGACCACATGCCAGAGACCTCTACAAAGTCAAGTCATATGTTAAATCTGATGTCAAGCTGTGAAACTGCATAACTATTAGCACCAAGAGGAAATGAATGTCAGAAGTCTGTTGTACTTCCAGCAGATTTAAGATGATAAGCTAGAAAAACAATTCCGCATGTGTTTCAATTGTTTTTCTATGGCAAGAATGAAAATCCCCTTTTAAAATTGCTTTTGTGCCTAACTGTTCACTTCCTTTTTCTTTTTTCTAAGGGATTTTGCTTGCCCAAAGAATTTATGGACGATTCAGCTGGAGAGGGAGCAACTGAGTTCCATGACTATGAGGGAGGTGGAATTGGAGAAGGCGAGGGCATGAAGGATGTGAGTGACAAGATAGAAAATGAAGAACAGGTATGTTTCCACATAGGTACACAGTTGACAGAAGATCACTCTCTTCAATATTTAAGTTGCACATAAAAATGGTTTTTGCTAGATTAATGATTTTTAATCTGTGATCTACAGAGCCCTAGATACATTGGTCCTTGTGCAGTGGGTGTAAATAAAAAGCCTAAAAACCACAGGAAGGAACCTTGCAACTCTGTCATTGGTTTTGGCTATAATTATGGAGGAAATAAATGATTTTTACTTTTTTTTTTTTTTTTAAATGGGGAGATATTTGCTGATGATTTTCTACAGTATTTTTTACATTATTTTTAAGCATAAAAGGCCTGGCTATCTTAAGTGATAACTGCATTAAACAATAATGCCAAAATATGCTGTTAATAGGTTTTGCTGTTGTATATCTGTAGGGCATATTGAGAGTTTAAAAAATCTGTATCCTTTTTTGGTTGGAATCAAGCAACCTTCTGAAGTATTTAGATGCTATGGACTCAGACTGTAAGATGCAAACCCTGTAGTAAAGTACAGTCCATACAAAAAACATTAAGCGGAATTAAAAGCTTCCAGAACAGTTTGGTAGTGTCTGCTGAATTTTAAATTATGTGTATTCATTGACCCCCAAGTTCCATGTTTTCTTAGAGAAATACTAGTGTTGGTCAGGTGCGGTGGCTCACACCTGTAATCCAAGCACTTTAGGAGGCTGAGGCAGGTGGATCATGAGGTCAGGAGATCAAGACTATCCTAGCCAACACGGTGAAACCCCGTATCTACTAAAAATATAAAAAGTAGCTGGGCATGGTGGCATGTGCCTGTGGTCCCAGCTACTTGGGAGGCTGAGGCAGAAGATTGCTTGATCCCAGGAGGTTGAGGCTGCAGTGAGCCATGATTGTGCCACTGCACTCCAGGCTAGCAACACAGCAAGACCCTATCTAAAAAAATAAAAAATAATTTTTTTTATATAAAATAAATATATAAATTAAGGAATGAGCAAGATTCTCTTGGTTTACTGTCTTTCAGTGATCATAGCGACAAAAATAGTATTAAAGAATTGGATAATAAAAGATTGGTGAATTTTTTATCCTACAAAGACTGTGTATTCTTTCAAATGTCCCTAGGATTATTTTTACAATTACCAATAAGAAAACCTGAAGAAAATTTCCTATTCTCTGATTACAAATACAATAAAGTGGAAACTAACTCCAGATATTTTATAAATTCCATGTGGCTGTCTCTGTGTTTCTTTCTTTTTCCTCTCCCAAATATATTTTTACACCATTAATCTTAGCATTTATATCTCAGAGCTGAAGCAAACATTGGTAAAGTTATAGCATTTATTTACGTTTAATATAATGGTTTTTTATATAGGTGGAAGATACATTTCAGAAGGGTCAAGAAAAAGACAAAGAGGATCCTGATTCAAAATCTGATATTAAGGGCGAGGATAACGCCATTGAGATGTCGGAAGATTTTGATGGGAAAATGCATGATGGGGAGTTTGAAGAACAAGGTTTGAGATTATCTGTCACTTCATTCTTGTTTTTCAAAGTATATTTTATCCAGGAAATTACATGTTCCTAATAAGGAACCTAATATAATCTTTTGAAACAAGTTGGTTACTGTGCTTAACTGCAAATGAAAACCTCAGCATCTCCATGGAGGCAGAAGTCCCCAGTCTCAGGCTCTTCTCATCAGAGTAAACTAAGACATTAACTGATACTGTTTGTAGCTTCCTCGTGGGCTACATGCAGTGGCTCAGTAGTGCCCTTCAGGGAAGCCTGAAAGCAGATGATCCCTAATGGAGCTGGGTTCTTAACAAAAGGCAAATTGTTCTGTGTGATGTTTAAAATACCTTTTATTCCTAATTAGAAAAATAGTAGATGTTTGTTGTAGATGATTTGGAGCAAAAATGTAGGAAAGAAATAGATCCCCCCTCAGGCCTACCACTCATAGCATTTAATAAATTGTTGTATATTTCTTTCCATTTATTGCATGTATACATACACACAGACCATATACAGTTCTGTAGTCTGCTTTTTAAATTTAGTATCTTATGAACATTCTCCCTGTCATTAAAAATTATTTGAGAATATAATTTTTTAAAGTACGTTGTCATCTGTCATATGTTTATGCCATAATTCAGTCCTTGCCCAAAATTTCTCTCCAATTTGAGATACTTAACTATGTCTTATTCTAAAATGAGTGTCTTGCAGAAATGAAAGTTGACCTTAGTGTACAGTTTGCCTAAGGCACATAGGATATGACCTTTGGCAAAGTAGACGCTATGCAAAGACAAAAGAAGTCCTGATTGACACCTGATTTTAGATGTTCGAAAAAAAATCATAGCAGTATATTGAAGACGGGGAGGACCAATGGAAACCATGTAGTCCAACCCCCTTATTTCACAGACATGAAACTCAGGTTGCTGAGTCCCATAATGGCCATTCCCCCAGCACTAGAACCAGGCATCCTGATAGATATTTCCCTTCTCTTCGTACCATCTGCTCGCACATTAGAGACTTCCTTGTTCCTCCACTTTGCAAAACACAGTAGGACTTTGTGTAGTAGGAGTTTGTTTTTGACATGTGTAGATCTAAAGGCATCCCCGTGGTGTTTTCTGTAGAAAAAGGCAGTAACTCTGGGTAGGGCCCTTACCCAAGAAGCAGGTCCATACCTTTCTTACAACACAGGACTGGGTTGATTTGGAGATCTGCCTAACTAAGCTCAGTGCCTTCCCTTGCAGAAGAGGATGATGAGAAATCAGATAGTGAGGGCGGAGACCTGGATAAGCAG